CTTGAAACTGGCGACCCTTTGTTTTGCTTGCCTTAAGCGAAAGCGCAAGGTATGTTCTACTATCACCTAAAAATTAAGATTCCAAAGTTTTAACGAATAAAATCGTATCTAGCAATCATATTATACATATAAATGATATAAAAAGCACATTGTTAGAAAGATAAATTATTATTGAACTTATTAATATTTCTTTTAAATCGATTAATTGCTATTTTTAAATAAAAAAGGGGTTTTAGTGGCTTATGGTGTGGATTTATCATGTCCCTGTGGCTTGTAAACACGATAACTTTTGAAAATATCAACTGTTTAACTAAATCTATTTTTTCATCTCTTCATCTATCATGTGGGAAGCCACTGAATGTAAATGGCAGTGTAATTTTGTTTCGTTTAGCTATAATTAATTTTTTTCGGCTCCAAAATGGCGAAATTTTCGTTGATTTGGTAAGGCTACGTACGTAAATTATTTCTGTAAATGGGGAGCTACAGCCACAGAGTAGTTTACTCACACTCAGTTCGGCGTCAATCGCCGTCGTGAGTGGACATTGTTTCGGTTGTTTGCAGCGGCTCAAAAAGATCACTGTACAAATACACAATATTCGAATAACCAAATTTCTTAAATATTTCATTATAATAATAAGAGATTTTTTTATTACAATATTTTAAAAGCACAGAATAAATAAAAACAGTACGTACTAAAAGAAAGTAGTATCAATTTTTTTGTCATGGGTTGACATTTTCATGGTTTTCGAGGGTGTTGAAACCGATAGGGTTATCGAAATGTAAATCCAAGATGGCGGCCGCAATAGGTATCAATTTTTTCATCATGGGTGTCATTTTCTTGGTTTTCGAGGGTGCTGAAGCCGATAGTGCAGTCGGAATGTAAATCCAAGATGGCGGCTGCAATAGGTATAAATTTTTTCATCATGGGTGTCATTTTCATGGGTTTCGAGGGTGTTGAAGCCGATAGTGCTGTCGAAATGTAAATCCAAGATGGCGGCTGCAATAGATATCAATTTTTTCATCATGGGTGTCATTTTCATGGTTTCCGAGGGTGTTGAAGCCGATAGTGCTGTCGAAATGTAAATCCAAGATGGCGGCTGCAATAGATGTCAATTTTTTCATCATGGGTGTCATTTTCATGGTTTTATATAGAGTTGAAGTCGATAGGGTTGTCGAAATATAAATCCAAGATGGCAGCTGCAATATATATAAATTTTTTCATCATGGGTGTCATTTTCATGGTTTTCGAGAGAGTTGAAGACGATAGGGTTGTCGAAAAGTAAATCCAAGATAGCGGCTGCAATAGATATCAATTTTTTCATCATAGGTGCCATTTTCATGGTTTTCGATAGAGTTGAAGTCGATAGGGTTGTCGAAATGTAAATCCAAGATGGCGGCTGCAATAGATGTCAATTTTTTCATCATGGGTGTCATTTTCATGGTTTTCGATAGAGTTGAAGTCGATAGGGTTGTGGAAATGTAAATCCAAGATGGCGGCTGCAATAGGTATAAATTTTTTCATCATGGGTGTCATTTTCATGGGTTTCGAGGGTGTTGAAGCCGATAGTGCTGTCGAAATGTAAATCCAAGATGGCGGCTGCAATAGATATAAATTTTTTATCATGGGTATCATTTTCATGGTTTCCGAGGGTGTTGAAGCCGATAGTGCTGTCGAAATGTAAATCCAAAATGGCGGCTGCAATAGATGTCAATTTTTTCATCATGGGTGTCATTTTCATGGTTTTATATAGAGTTGAAGTCGATAGGGTTGTCGAAATATAAATCCAAGATGGCAGCTGCAATATATATATATAATTTTTTTCATCATGGGTGTAATTTTCATGGTTTTCGAGAGAGTTGAAGACGATAGGGTTGTCGAAAAGTAAATCCAAGATAGCGGCTGCAATAGATATCAATTTTTTCATCATAGGTGTCATTTTCATGGTTTTCGATAGAGTTGAAGTCGATAGGGTTGTCGAAATGTAAATCCAAGATGGCGGCTGCAATAGATGTAAATTTTTTCATCATGGGTGTCATTTTCATGGTTTTCGATAGAGTTGAAGTCGATAGGGTTGTCGAAATGTAAATCCAAGATGGCGGTTGCAATAGGTATAAATTTTTTCATCATGGGTGTTATTTTCATGGTTTTCGAGAGAGTTGAAGACGATAGGGTTGTCGAAAAGTAAATCCAAGATAGCGGCTGCAATAGATATCATTTTTTTCATCATGGGTGTCATTTTCATGGTTTTCGATAGAGTTGAAGTCGATAGGGTTGTCGAAATATAAATCCAAGATGGCAGCTGCAATAGGTATAAATTTTTTCATCATGGGTGTCATTTTCATGGTTTTCGATAGAGTTGAAGTCGATAGGGTTGTCGAAATATAAATCCAAGATGGCAGCTGCAATATATATCAATTTTTTCATCATGGGTGTCATTCTCATGGTTTTCGCGGGTGTTGAAGCCGATAGTGCTGTCGAAATGTAAATCCAAGGTGGTGGCTGCAATAGGTATTAATTTTTTTATCATGGGTTTCATTTTCATGGGTTTCGAGGGTGTTGAAGCCGATAGTGCTGTCGAAATGTATTTAAACTACTTTAAAAAATTCCGTATAATCATGTTATGCGTAATTTTTTTAATGCGCTTAAGGCATACCCAATTGGATTTACCAATATATTTTTTCTATTTTTGTTTACTTTTCGTTCAATAAACTTAATAACAAACTATAGTTAGTAACCACTCAAGATGAACACAAAGTCACAAAGCAAGTTGACTGCTCGAGCAGTTCGCTAGGATATCGCTTGTCCAAGTTATCACCTCGGTAGCTCAGATATAACTGAACTAACTTTCGGGCCATCCACCCGCTTATATAGGCAAAATGAAGGAATAATCTGGAATAAACTAGTTTAGAATAATTGAGAAACAATAAATCTTTTGATGTGTCGCTCGTGAGGCGACAAACCTCAAAAAATTTGATCGAGCAAGCCAAGTGGCGGCGGTTATCAAACTGTGAGGTAGCAAACATCAAATCCTTTGATGATTTGATGCTTGCCGCCTCACTGTCACTCCCGTGAGTATAAGTAACTAATGTAATATTTTTTAAATTGGGTTTTTTCAAAATGTCTCGCAGGCCGGATCATATCTTACAGCGGGCCGGTTGTTGGCCATATATGTTTTAACCTTTCAAAATTAAAATGATTAATGGGCACTAGCTCTACCTGTGTTTAAATTAAAGTCACCATTGTGGCGGCCACGTTGTATATATATATATATATATATATGTATATAGTGAAAAGTATAGTAGATATCAAAGATATGAAACTTAAATAGAAGACAGAGATAAATAATTTATTTATTTACTCTTTTTTGTACACCAAAAAAACAAAACAAAACGAATACAATTAAATCTAAAGTAGAAAATAATGTTCTTTTACACGTTTTTTGAACAATGTTATTGTTATCATTTCTGGAATGGGGGGAGGAAGTGCATTCCAGAGTCTTACTGCATGTACAGAGAATACACGGGAATACGAATGAGCTTTAAAGAATTAAAAAGAAGAAGAAAAATTTTAAGAGAGTTTTAAGGTGAGATCTACAAACTACATCTGGGTACTTAACCCTTATGTGAGTGACGAGGTACCCGGGTGCCTTTGGCATTTTGAAATTCTAAAAAAGTACGCCCTATTACGCCCTATATGTAGCTGTGACTTCCTGAGAGCTCTTAACTATTTATAAATTACATATTTTTTAATGTTTTTTTTTAATGTTTTGACCAAATCTACTATTAACAATGTTTTGTGGAAACCAAAACATATTTTGAACTCACAATCGAGTAACGAGGTACTCGGGTACCTCTTTGTGTTTTGTGTGAATATGAGGAAAGTATTTTTAATTTCGTACAAAAACTAAATAATAAACATTTGTCGAAGTACTTTATTTCTATAAAAATTACAAATTCTTTGTTCATACAGTATTAATTACAGCTCTCGAAGCAGATGTTACATGTTGGACGAGTTACTGCATGTTCATCACAAACTGGTTTTCTGCAGTTAGTGCAAGCTTTACGAGTTTTTCTTTGCTTGCGTTTGAGTTCTCTGCATAGGTAACAACTTCCGACGACTGCAACACGCCCCGTAGAATCTCGTCTAGTTTGACTTATAGAAGTTGCAGATCCAAAAGAAATTGACGGCCTAAGTTCTCGGCTAAGCACGTCCTGCATTGCAGATCTCACATGTAATTTCGATGTCACAATGCAATTTTTTGATTTCCCTTCTATATTTTTACCACACAGTTGTAGACTAAATGATTTCAAAAACTTTCTACGTCTGTCACTTGAGACCAATTATGGGTTATGTTCCATGTAAATAATATATGCTGCCAAAGCTGCAATGTCAATGATATTGTAAAAAAGTGCTAAAGGCCACGGATTTGTTCTGCGTTTTACGGTATATTCTGCTAACAGCTTATCCATGTTGTCCACTCCACTTTTGGTTTTATCATAATATAAAATTATTTCTGGCTTGGCAGTTTCCTTATTACTTTCAATAATTGGTGACATGTGCATTGATGACAACATTATTACTGCTATATTCTTTTTAGGTACGTAAGAGCACACAGTTGCTTCTTTGCTAAATGCGAAATTAGAAGAATAAACAGCCCTCTCCTTGTGTGCTTGCATATTTGCAGGAAGAAACCGTTTATTTTTTCTTACCGTTCCAACTAGTGTCATATTCCACGAATTCAAGGAGTGAGCCACTTGAAGCGACCTAAAAAAATTATCCGTAGTTACATTCAGCCCTGAATTTTATATTCAGCCACGAGATCTAATACAGTGCATTCTCCTACATTTGTTTGACGTATGCAAACACTTGACTTTCCTGTATATATTTGTCCATTTAGGGGGTAGGAATTATTTGCATCACAAGCCCAGAATATTTTTATGCCATACTTTTCAGGTTTTGATGGCATGTATTGAGTAAAGCGAGTCTGCCCACGATATCCTTATAGCTGTTCGTCAACGGTAATACATTCACGAGGCTTGTAGTTTTTATTCAAATTGGAAATGAACATAGTCCAAATATCTCGTATAGCAGCGGCTTTATCAGCTAACAAACTTTCAGGGCGCGTTACATCATTATCAAACCTTATGAAGCGTAGCAGCATTTTGAATCTATCATGGGACATCGCAGCCCGAAATAATGGTAGGTGACTGGATTTCCACAGTTCAGTCAAATGCTCTTTATTAGATCTATGCAGCCCACTAAAAATTAGAATACCAAAAAATGCATCCAATTCTTGTTCTGTGAACGGTTTGAATATTTTTTGTTTCGGTCGCTTGCTAATATCAGGGTAATTTTCCATCAGTTTATTATTGTATGCTTCAGTAATTTTTGTCCCTTTCCGATTAGTTTCCCTCAAGATTATGTCACACATTTCATTGGACAATATATTTTTGAATATTTCCATTTGATTGTAAAGTTTGCTGAACGATGCAGCCCCGCCCCGTTGACGAATAATATTTCTGCTACTAGTTTGTATTCTGGTAAGTGGTTCAGACTGCCACCGCATTCCATCTTTTGCTATAAGAATATTTTCAAGCGATTCCCCTTCAAAACTCGCATCGGAATCATAAGAATCAATCTCATTTTCGACTTCAGCTTCTGGCTCAACATCCGAAATTTGAAATCTACCCTCTTCAACTAAAGGAATATAATCATGTTTATTATCAGAAGCAACAAACTCACCTTCTTCACTAGAAGATTCTGCTAATATCTCTAGTAATTCTGTTGAATTATATCTTCGAACACGTGATCTTTGTTGAGAAGTACTTGCTCCAATATTCATAATGAAATAATTATAAACTCACAAAATACAAATATGCTCGTACAATAGAAACAAACGTATATAGTCAAATGTCAAGCACGATGCACTGAATTGATTCAGTGTTTCTTGCGCGCCGATAACCATGTACCGCACTCCATCTCTCCTCCGCTTTTATCGCCACAGGTTGTCAACAGTTTAGCTTAGCTAAAGTAATAATATTCAAAGTATGTGTAACACAAAAGTAGATCTTGATTGTTTACATTACGTATACACTGTATGAAGGTACCCGGGTACCTCGTCACTCTGTTAAAGGTGTTTTATTTGTCACTCACATAAGGGTTAAAAAGGTAAATTGATTACGGAGGTATGAAGGGAAATTTGGACTGTGTAAGATGTTAAAAAGAAGACAAAGAGTACGAGTGTTCCTGCGAAATTCGATCGGGAGCCACTTGAGCTGCTTTCTGTATTTAGAGTCGTGTATATACGTAGTACGTACGGGGTAGAGGCGAACTACATCTATATCAATAGTGTGAATAGGTCGGCTAGACCGGAGAAGCTAATAGCTAATAGCTAAAATGTTGTCTTAATAAATGCTTAGCGTTGTTTTGCTATTTTTAGCTAGAGGGTGCCACACGTGAGCTAGCTCAAAGTTTTTGTATATAAATGTTTCCAATGTCCGCTCTATAGTATACCTATATATTTAAATCTCTTTGCGTTGGAACCTCTGGGTTCCTAAGTGTTTAGCACAGATTTTCTTCGTATGTTTTATGTTTATGCCTTGATCTTTTTTAAGGATTTCAAGTTTTAACAACATGGACGAAATTTTTACAATGATTGGGGTGTTATTTTTGATTTCTTGGTCCCGCTGGGTTTCTTGCTGGTTCTTCCCAGGACAGAGGTATTTTCCGAACCAGTGGTAAATAAAATAATGACTTTCAATAAGTATTATGTAATAATCCATATTGAATAAAAATCATTCTATTCTATTCTATTCTATTTGCTCCAATAACGGCCAACCGTTATTAAAGTAACATATTGTTCAAAGTTACAAAGTTTAAAGTTACAATCTATCGACTTTGACAAGCTTGTGACATGTTAATTAAATCTTCTTTATTTTATTTGGGTTCTCTTGGCAGGTACTTAATTCCAATATTTGCATAACGATATCCTCGATGCATTTCCTTAAGTTTATCTTCCGAAATCATGATGTATTCTTTGCCGTTCTTGGCATGCCCTGCTAACTGTTCTGTTCTCTTTTTAAAATCTTTATTTTGTTGCGTGAAAAGATAAAGTACTTTATATATTATACAATTTGTTTGCTTTATTTCTACGAGTGTTGGTGTAATCTTTTTAAGAAGTACCTGTTTTAGAATCATAGAATGGATCATATTTTTATTTCTTCTTGAAAAGCATAAAATTTCGTAGACGTCATCATGTTATTATCCCATTTACTTTAAAGGAGGTATTATTTAAGAACTTAAGTAGGCTTATAAATATGTATAAGTGTTCGCGAATATTCCCTATTCCCTTAGTTTTAGTATCTATGTCACAATAATAGGATATATGTTTAATGATCCAGAGAACATTAAACGTACGATTTTTAAGGACTCATTAACATTTAATGAGCTGGCAGTAACGCAGCTATTATTGCCGCAGTATACTATTGTAGTCTTTAGCTATTATTACGAACAGTCAGTCAGTAGTTATACTCTCTTTGTGTTAGCGTTTTAACCTTGATTTGATTCTCATCTCATAGAGCAAACAAGGTTATTATCAATATTTACAAATAATTCAATATCAATATTTATAAAGAAATTTCAACTAATTATACATAATTAGTTGAAATTTCATTATATTTCGGAGTAAGAAATTGAAATTTAGTTTCTATATGATATTCCTCAAAGATAACATTTTAATGCAACTATGGAAAAATGCCCCCTATAAAGCAATTTATGGAGGAGGCTTAAGTTTAGCAGTTGGTTTTTATAGGCTGTGATAGATGGAATAGAATGTAAATATGCACTAGTTGAAGTTTTAATGATTGGGTAATCCTGTTGTGTAGTTCAGCTCACCAAAAGTGTGCAACAGAATAAGATTGCGTATTAAAAATTGTGTTATTACTTTAACGGTGTATGACCGTGGGGAGTAATAAGGTATTTTGCATAAGGTATAAAAACAATAAAAAATATGTAATTGTGATAGGTTTGCAAAAAGTAAACGAGAAATGTTGAGTTCAATTCATAAAAATATCTTATAAATTTTATAATTCAATTTTAAAACTATATATTTTTTTTAATTTGTACCTCAAACGTCCATAAGTTAACCGCGGTTTTGGTGGGAACTTAACCAGCGGCGGAATGCTGCTTTAAAGTGGATTTTTATATGTAAAAGTGGTGCAATTTTGTGTATTAAATGTCTACGCATGTGAACTATTAGTGGAAACGGTGAAACAAGTGCACTGATGGTGATGTGTATTTCAAGATAAGGTGTCTGTCTGCTTAAGTGCCTTGAGATACTATCGCCAACTGTCTGCTGGCTCAAGTTTCCGTCAAAATCTCCCAAGGGCTACAGAATGAAAAGAATTATTATCAGTTGATACTGAGATAAATGAAGTCATGGCTCAAAGGACGGCTCCGTGGTGCAGTGGCTCAGCAATGACTTGCTGCGCTGGGGGGTGCGGGTTCGAATCTCGCACGGAAGAAGTATTTGTATGGCCTACAAATAATTGTTCCGGGTCTGGATGTTTGTCCTTGTGCAATTTGTGTTTGTAAACTGCCTCCACGATACAGGAGAAAATCCTAATGTGGGTAACGTTTTTAAAAAAATAAAATAAAAAAAGGACAAACATCAAAGTTAAAAATCTTAATTAAAAATAACGCTATCCGCCATATTAGATTACATGCAATACTTATTACCTCATGATGTTTTATTTTGTATAAACGATAGTTAAATATAAGTCATCATTTTTTTACCTGATGCAAAATACCTTATTACTCCCCACGGTCATACACCGTTAAAGTAATAACATAATTTTTAATACGCAATCTTATTCTGTTGCACACATAGGCCTTCCCCAAGGAATGCCCCAAAGCACAGTCCTGAGCTACCTGCATCCATCGACTTCCTGTATGTCATACTTACATTTAAGTGATCTTCACAGAAGTATAGTCTACTTTTTGTAGACAAAGTCTTCGGGTTTCTTTTTGCCAGTTTTAACCAAGTATTTCTCATATTTAAATCAGTTGGCGCTTGAATCCATAAATTTCCCGGCGTTTTTGATCGTGTTTTTGTTCAAAGGCACAACACACCAACGATAAAGATGATAACACATTATTAAATATCCAAAAGTATCTTATTCCTTTGCAAAATCGTTTTATTTACTAGAGCAGTGACATCAACAGCATGGCGGCTAGCGTTTTCTCGCGAAAATTTAAAACGATAGCTTAAAAGTATTTTTTATGGCACTATTCGGTGTAAAACATTTATATAAAAATTATTAGTGGCTTACTATCAGTCTAGGATTAATTTAAAATACTATTTGAAAACGGATCTAATACCCTACTATTCATCATCAGAATATCGCTTATCTCATGAAATTTACCAAAATTAAGAATCGGTAGTTTTGTTTAGCGATCTGCTTTGCAATGAACATTAGCAAGATCAAAAGGTTAGAAGTTGGGGAATGTGATTTCCGAACTTGGCTGATTTATAACTTACATTAAAAATTTAAAAAACCTTTGAAACAAAAAATGGCAATGATCTTCATACAGCTGAACAGATTTTCTTGAATCATAGCTAAGAACATTCTCGATCAAGTCACCTTCCAACAAAAACGGTCAAATGATCAAAATCGGTTCATCCATTTGGGCACTACGATGCTACAGGCAGACATCGTACCCGGTACATAATATCCAGTCATACACAGATACACACGTTGAAGTTATGTAACACGAGGGGTGTTGTTTTCGTTTGGGCTTAAAAAAAGTATTTAAACGACTATTCCAATTTGTATTTTATGCTTCTATATTTAATGTTATTTATTAAAAAAACGTCCGAAAAATTATATTATAATACTGTGCCGTATTCATAGTACTCAGAATGTGGAAAAAAGCTTATTCATCATAATTAAATTCTTTGTTTATATTCAAAATGAAAGCAAGCGCCTGACCATGAGCTGCTGTAGTTAACGTCTCGGTGCGTACATCTGTTTAAATTTGAGCCTAATTAGAAAGCAAACAATAATTTTATTTACTAAATTATATGAATTGAGACGCCCGAAATTCTGACGAATATTCAACTATGTTATTGCAATGTTTATTTAATTAGTAGCTGTGCCCACGACTTCGTTCGCGTGTAATAAAAACTTTTTTTCTGATAAGTGATGATGATTTATTCGTACATTTAATGTCACGTAGACCTACAAAGGCACTATTCTGGATAAAAACATTCAGTTAATTAGTTGATATAAACTAACGAATGAACCATCAAACGGACCCACAAACGAACTAACGGACGAACCCACAAACAAACCAAGAAACGAACTGGGCGAATTATAGACTTGTGTTTTATATCGTAAATGAGCATTAAAATGACCACTAGATAGATTATCTACTGTAAAACCTGGTCTATTGACAGGATTCCCTTCTACGCCAACAGTTGGGTAAAGAGAAGGAGACATTTCCATACATACTTGGCCCATGTGTAAAAAAGATGAAATTAAGACCATTTGAAAACTTAGTTATAAAAAATTCATAGCAGAAAATCTGGTGAGATTTGTCAATTTAGGAGCTGAGTTATCGTAGAAAAAGGTAAAAGTAAGATTATGTATGTACCTACATTGTAACATTCGTTTTTTCACTATAGTAACTTGAATATAGAAATAAGTTTATAAACTAGCTAATACCCGCGATTTCGTCCGCGTTGCTTACACACTTCACTGAATACTTAGTGCTTATAAAAAAACGTTCTTTCTTAAATCTTTAATAACTTTGTATTAAATGAAGATATTGCAATATTTTTTT